TCACAATAACACGGGGAGGGCTGGACGATGAAGCTCTTTTCTCTTTCAAAAGAGCTGCCCCGTTTTTGCTGTCGCAGCTACAAAAATTGCACATTTTATGTAAGAAAACCGCAAAAATGTAAATCAAGAAAGAGAAACAATACAAATTCATCATCATTCACCATCTTGCTTCACGAGCTCCATTCGTCGCATTGCGTTCGGATTTCGCAATCCGACTCTCATCGGATTAATTAAAATGTCAAAAATCAAACTCACTAAGCTTCTGCGCGAAAACCTCCGTTAAAACCGGAGAAAAATTGAACTAAATCCATGGAATTACTGATGTTAGATTAAAGTAGAGGACCTTTGAGGGAGGTCTTGTGAAGGTTGCGCGATGATTTGGAGCAGAAACGGGATTTGTGAGCTTTGTTGATTTGAACTCGAGACCCTGCCATGACAGAGGATCGTCCGGAAACGTAACTGCCGGCAGGAAACAATGGGTTTTAATTCAGTTATTTTGGTTGGCGGTATTTAGGTTTAAGGGTAATTATATTGTGCGCTCGTGCCTCTTTTATGTATTAAACAACCACCTAAGGTCATAAAAGCACCTATTAAGAAATTGTGCTCATAACATATATATGTTAGTATTACTATTGTTGGTTTACTAAAATTGGCTGCATATTGTATTTTTATGGGAAAAAAAACTTATTCTCCATTTTGGAATTTTGTCAATGCGTTCCTCCTCTTGTGAGTTACTGGTCAATGTTTATTTTTCATAATGATGACTGCAATACCTACATAGTTGGCAACACTATATTGCATAAGTTATTTTACTCATGCTAAATGGATCCCATCTTGTTAGGAACCGTCGGATTAAGCACCTGGCACACAAAAGAATGTATCTGGTGGTGAAGTTATTAGGTGGAATAATGTCTCTGGTCCTGAGAGAATAGATGTTAAAATGTACATTGAGTTTCTAGCAGCAGAGATTGAGGAACTAAATCGTCAAGTTGGTAGAAAAACTCCAAATGGACAAAATGAGCTATTGGAATAGCTCAAGTATCTCAAGCCACAAAATCTGAAGGTAAATGAAGCTATCTACTTATTAATTTCGTGTTATATCTCGATCATCTTTGTCGTCTGTAGTTGGCACTTGACAGCAGACTCAAGTTTTTCTGCTTCCCTGAATGTCCTTCATTGACTATGGTGGGAACTTCCGGTAAGGTTATGAAATTTTGAACTTGTATTATTTTTTGTTCTAGGAGTTGACTAGTAGTGCTGGTGAGGATGTTGTGCTTGCAATGAACACATTCATAGCGTCTTCTGGCTGTTTCTGATCCTAGCCAAATGAAGGTTTGTCATTTATCATCATCATCAACTTTACTGTCTTTTCTTCTTTTCTTCATTTTTTTGTTCCATATATTCTTGACATTAAGATTTAAATTTTCATTATTTTCCCATATTATCAAACAATTATCTAAAGGTTTTTCAAAATAAGATCATTTTGTCGAATGTGTAGCTAAAACCATACTGCATGCACACACACATATTGGAAATGGAGAAGAGAATACTGTTTTTCAGTAAAAGTGTCAGTCTGGACTGAAATTATGAAGAGATCTGTGATGTTATTCTTTTTTGGTCATTTATTCGGTCTGGACTTTAAACAATATTTTCTTGGAAATAACTTGGTTCTATGCATGAAGAAATTAATCATCTTCTGAGTTATAATAATCATGCCATTTTATTTGACATTTGATTTCTTGTTCTTAATTTCTTTCTTGATATGTAGTTGCAGATAAGTGTAACAGAGACTAGTGCCTCAGAACTTGCCAAGCTTCTTTACCGGTTGATGGTGGCTGGTTACAGCATCCGTAATATAGAAGTCCAATTTGACATGGAAAGAGTACTTGGAACTCCTCCAAAGCTTGCAGAGTTGCCTCCAGGAGAAAATATTTAGACATTTTGCATAACAACGGAGGATATAGCCAAGTTAGAGCATATTGATCTGAATGCCTCCTAATGCATTAAGTTTGTGGCCTGTGGGAGGAAGGGGGTAATATTTGATAGTGTACGGACAGGATATTAACAATTTTGAAAACCTTCTATTGGTAATTTTGACATGAATCAATCATGCGCACGTATGGATGAGTCACGCAACATCTTTTAGCAAATGCTTTTGTGGTTAAGAACTTGAACATTTGATCATTACTTTTTGGATACTAATAGGCTTACCCTCTCGCTTTGCACATCTAGTCACACACTAATGGTGTCTGTGTTAGGCACACTGACTGTCTCCGTTACACACCCAGCCACTAAACTTCTCCATCTTCTTCAACTCTAGAGACTGCTGGGTTTCTTAATCTTGCTGCCATTAATGTAAGAAGCAAACATCCAACCAAAAAAGCGCCGCACGTTGCCTGTTGCTGCCCACAATCCATCTTTTTTGGAGCACCCGTTAGACATTTCCAACAACTCACAAAGAATCAAAAAGAAATTTCCAGCAACTCACAAGAAATTAAAAAAAAAAAAAAGAATAAAATCCAAAAATTGGTTTGAAATTAGAAAAAGACAAGTGATCTTACTATTCATCAGCTAAATCTAGCATTTTGTTTCTCATGGAACAATTCAAAGGTGAAATCCTTTGTATCAATTATGAAAATTACAACGGCAACAATAGTCACGCTTGCGAAGAACAATCAATGCCAGTTCTAAAATGAATGTGAGCAGAAAAAAAGAATGAGGAGGTTTACCAGTTTCCGACTCATCAAAACCCAAATCAAAATCCCTAAAATCAAACCCTCTTTCTCCCCAGATCTGAAATGAATGTGGAGGGGATTTCTTCTTTTTGTTCTTCAATCAAATTCTACTTAAATCCATCCCTTTCTACCATTTTGTTTTACTGCTAACTCTCCTCCTCAAAACCCAGATCTGAAAATCCCCAAAACTAGAAAACCCACAAAACCCAAGAGGCCCCAACCTTAGTTTTTTCGACATGGGTGAGGATGGAATGAAGGTGAAAACAGGGTTGGTGGCAGATCTTGGTGTGGTGGTTTTGGAGAAAATGGAGGTCAGGCAAGGGCAATCGGAGAAAATGGAGGTCGATCGGTGCCATTTTAGAGAAAATGGAGGTCGGGGAAGGGCAATCCTTGGAGGTCGGGGAAAGGCAATCGTAGAAAATGGAGGTTGATGAAATTTTGATCTTGGGTCCCACGCCATAGCCACCTACTAGGAATTACGAAGGAGAGCAAACTGAGTTAGAGGAGAAAGGAAAGGAGAGAGAAAAAAAGGTTGGGCAACAAACACCGTCAGTTGACATAATAGATATGGTTAAGGTGTAATGAAATGTGTAACATTAGAGCGTGCTTTATCATTACCCTTACCTTTTTTTTTCTTTGGTGAAATTTGAACTTTTAAGTTGGAAGTCTTTTTTATCAAATTCTAAAGTAGGTGGAAAACGAGTTTGACGAGAATGGGTTAGCTCATATTATATGGTTAATGATTTTTCATATCAAATTTTAAAATAAAATTTTGGTTAAATCCCTTATCCTTTTTATTTTATCAAATGTTTAATTAAAACTATTTAGATATATAGTATTAATTTTAAAACTGGTGTTTACTTTTATAAAAGCAAAACTAATTAGACATTTGTTTTTGCTTATTTGAAGACTATTTTTTTTTCAAGCAATTTTAAGGGCACATCACTCGTGCCGGCTTAATGTATTAAAAAAATTTAAAATTTTTAAGTGCTGATAAAAAAACTTGAATTCTAAATATGACCTTCAAGATGATACTTGTATATTAATGGATCCACCCATTTGACATATTATATAATATACTCTTAATTTATGCCATAAAGTTATAAATTTTTTTCATTAAAAAGAATTTATAATTTAAAAAAATTATTTTCAATTTTGCAAAAGCATCCACTTGTGGACAACATTCAAATGAGAAGAAAATGAACATGGCTAGTCAGGAAAGTGATGGTCAAATGAGAATACTAATCAAAGTGAAGGGAAGTCCCTCTCCCCACGTCAAATGATCCGGAAGCACGGCACATGCATTGCCTATTTTCAAAAAAATAAAAATTGAAAGAAGGACCGCAAATGACGACTTTGAACTTTGAAGATCCACGCCAAATTTCAATGCTAATACAAGTTCATGGAAGGTCCACCGCACACGTCCCACCGTGGAGTAACCAATTCACGTTCCAATACTAATCAATGTCCCAACCAAAACCTTTGACTAAATCAACGAATTATTTTTGAATTCTGCACCAACTCGTCTTGGGTAAACAGGCTTTTATTTTACACCATGTAGAATTAATCCATCATAGATAATAACCACCTGTGCTACTAGTCCTATCTTAGCTTTCTCCCAATGGAAGATATGAGAGATTCGATGGCAGTACCACGGATTCTGAGGATGGTTATCAAGTTTCATCCATTATTGACAGTAACCAGTCTTATCTATCAGGTAATACTTTTGCATGCTTGGATTGAAGAGGAGATGAAAAATCAATGGAAAGCCTTGTAAGGATGGCTACTGAGGAAAGTGACGGTCAAATGGCAATACTAATCAAAGTGAACGGAAGTCCCCACTCCCCACGTCAAATGATTCGGAAGCACGGCAAAGCCATTGCCTATTTTCAGAACAAAAAAAAAAAAGAAAGAAAAGAAGCACGGCAAATGACGACTTGACTTTGAAGGTCCACGATAAATTTTAATACCAATACTAATCCTAATGCAAGTTCATTGAAGGTCGACCGCACAAGTCCCACCAAGGAAGAACCAATTCACGTTCCAATAATACTAATCAATGTCCCCACTAAAACCTTTGACTAACACATAATATCAACGAATTATTTTTGAGCTCTACATCAGCTTGTACAGGGAAACAAGCTTTTATTTTACACCATGTAGAATTAATTCATCATAATAACCACTTGTGCTACCAGTTCTTTCTCACCTTTCTCCCAAATGGATGATACGAGAGATTCAATTGCAGTGCCACGGATTGTGAGGATGGTTATCAAGTTTCATCCATTATTGACAATAACCAGTCTTATCTATCGAGTAATACTTTTGCAAGTTTGGATTGAAGAGGAGGTGAGCAATCAATGGAAAGCCCTCAAGGTGTATTTCCAATTGACAATGAGATCTTTGTTGGATCCTATTATTGAGAAGATGAAGAATCTATCGGAAGCCCTTGAGATGCATCTTCACAACGAAGTGGCAAAGGGTCAGCTAAAGGCCAAACTAGTCGGTAAACTTGCCTTGTTCTCTGCCTTGTTTCTTCTATTGAATACAAAGTTAAGTTCAAAATATGATGGAAGAGGAATCAAAATGCAATTATTGATGTTTATTGGCCTTGGCCCATTAACATATTCAAAGCGTTGGAGTCAATTAAAAATTCTTCATGGAAGGTGCAGTTGCATGGTAAATTCAACAGCAAGCTTCATCTTCTTTATTATGGCACTTCTTTTTGCAAAATTTTATGATAATTCCTTGAGGAGCCTTAGTGCTATGTTGTGCATCTCAGTTTTTCTTCTATGTGTACTAGTGGTATTACGATTGCAAACAGACTTTGGGTTGTTTAGTTTTATCATTGGAGTCATTGGATCTATTACTTACAACTGCTATGAGTTGAAGTTTCCCACATGGATAATTGCTTCCATCTGTTTTGCGTTGTTCAGTTTCAAGAGCTGGTTAGATAAGTATTGGTTGGATTTGGAAGAAGATCCTAGTATAAATACCACAACTGAAAGTGCTAGTGTGTTTTCTATTTTTTTATCAACTACTATACATTTTGCACTTAGTATCTTCGTGTCTTCTAAAGTCAAATCTCCCCTATCCGACCATAAAAATTTGTTAACTATTGTAGTCCTGATTGTGTTTCGAAGTCTCTATAGGTTCTGTCATAATTCCATAGATAGCTCAATGCCCTCTACAAATACCAAAGAAATCAATGGTTTGATTTTGATGGTTGTAAATATTGCACATGGCATGTTTAACTTTACTCTTATGACATCTTCCATGGCCAATTATAAAGATTGGTTATTTGTAGTAATCAGTTATGTCGTTTTTTGTTTTTGGTTACAAAGCTTTTTTCCCAAAGATATGTTTCCACCCTTTACAAATACCAAAGGAATCAAAGACAAGATTTGGGCTATTCTA